TGGAGCCTGGCTTGGTGGCCAGCAAGTGAGGTACTTGGAATAGGAAGGGGGGAGGGGCAGATGGCTTTGGGGAGGGGAAAGGAGGAGCTGAGCCCTGGATCCCTCCCAGTCCCACTGTGGTACCATCTCGCTGGCCTACGAGTCGGACGTAGATCTGATGCAAAGGCCCCTCCTGCCAGAGAATGCCTTTAATGTAGAACTGGTAGAACTGCCTGACGTGGTTGATGATCAGTCGCCGTTTGCTCATGTTGCTGATGACAAACCAAAGGCTGGTCAACATGCTTAAGATGAAGAAAAGAAATATATCCTGCTGGATCTGCAAGGGAAGGGCTGGGGTCAAGAAGAGAGGAGGTGTCCTGGCCGATCCCCTGTCCTCTGGCCCTCTGGTAGCCCCTTTAGAGGAGGAGGGCGAGTTCCGTTGGCCAGCCTTCCCCCAGTGGTGCCACACATTCCCAGGCACTTTCCCTGGGCAGAAGCCGTGCTGATTCTTCTTCATAAATATGTAATGTGATTTTTACAATGTTTTCTATCAACTCACCTGCAACAGACATGAAATCACAAGCCTACAATTTCCTGGATTCTTTCAGGATTTTCTGAAAGATCACTAGGAAAGAGGGCAGGCAGGTTTGGGATTAGAAAATGGATCATTCCACCTCAGAGAGATACTCTCTAGCTGAGATGAGGTTGACTAAAATGGGGTTGGACTATTGCTAGGTCAACATGTTGGGGAATACAGTCATTCCTTAAGCCACAACATGGTTTACTTGGGAACAGGATAGTAAGCAACAGTATTTGGTTAATCTGGGTTAATAAGGTTTATAGGATCGAAAGTTGTGTGGAGCCACCCCCAAAGTTCACCTCCCCATCCCATCTATTTATGTCTTTTTATAATTTATGCCACACCTGTTTGTCCATCCATACAGTTAATCTCAGCCTGTGTATGTAAGTTCCTCCATCCCTCCCAAAATAGGGCTCAGGAATGAAATGAAGGCAATCCCTTTGGGTCCTGGGTCAGCTAAAGAAAAAAAAAGCAGAACTGGAAGCCAACATTGCACCAAAGAAGCTTCAGAGCCCCCCCCCCCCCCCAAATGCTTTAGTCCCACTGATCTCTACACATCAAAAGCAATGAGGAGAGGAGTGGAAAAACCTTCTCTAAGGTCTGGCGCCCAACTGCAAATTCTATTATCCACAACCAGCACACCTAATGATCTTGAGGCTGGAGTGATGGGAGGCAACAGCCCAATAGCTTTGGAAAGTCCTAGGGGTAAAAACCAGCGCAGGCGCTGACAAGCCCAAAGCCTCGATCAGTTGGTTTTCATTGTCTAGGGAGGAGGGGCCCCTGAAGAGGCTGCCTCTGAAGCCCCCCCCCCAAACACTCCAGCAAGCAGGAGGAGGATTTCAAGGGGGCCTGGGAGCAGCAGCACAGCTCCTTTCTAAGGGGAAGTTCTAGGTGCAAATGTCCCACTGCTCTGGCCAACGTGGTTTCCGATCTGGGCTGCATCCTGACTGCTGCTTAATAAGGGCCCAGATGAGTGGTTTACTCGGGAGAAGCCCGAAGCAGATCCACTGCAGCTCCCGTGCCTCGCCATGAGGACAGACAAGGGGAAGGTCAAGTCATGAAATCCAGGGTGTCTTTCAGAATTCTCCAGCTGGTGGTGTGCTCAGGGTCACTTAGAAGAGATGCCATGGTTCCCCAGCTGAGTCTGGCCAGGCAGGAGGGGCGCTCTGGAACAAACAAGGAGCAAACTGTGGATCTCCTGGTGTTTTGTCTAGGTCCCCACCAGGGGGGCTGGGAAAGCCAGGAAGCGGTGTCTGCAGAGACCCCCTTACAGTGGTGCTCAGGTCAGTTAGATTCTGCTGACCTCTTTAGCCTCCTCCTGTCCTGCATTTCTGAAGTGAAGAAGTCAAGAATAATCAAGCAGCCCTCACTTAGGTTAAAGCAGGGACGTTCACTGGGAGCCAGTTTTAAAATGACACCCCCCAGAAGAAGCCCACCTGAGAGACTATGAATCAGGGTGAAGCTCCAAACGAGCCCCTTGGAAACCCTGGATAAATAAATCTTTCTGCCTTATTTTTCAGTTCCTTAGCTGGAAAATGGGATAATAACAGCGATCTGCCTCGGTTATTACCCTGTGACATGAGCATGACTCACAAGCAGAGCATCGAAAGTTAGGTTTTAAGGGAGGGGACTGAGGAAAAATAAAGATTGCCATAGAATTACAGTCCAAGGCAGATGGCTGCCTGCCCCAACAGCTGGGTCTCTTCAGATGTTTGGGCCAACAATTCCATTGTTTCTAACCACTGGCAATCTTGGCTGGGGCTGTCAGGAGCTGCGGTCCAAAATGGTCTGAAGACTTGGAGGGCCTGGGAGGCAAGGCAGCCCCCAAAGTTTGCAGACCAGAGGTGAGCAGTTGGGAGCCCAGGGGACCCAGAAGCAGAAGAATGGCAAAGGGCTCACCCCAATAATTTTGAAGTAGAAGACGCTGGCGACCAGGGAAATGATAAAGCACAGCACCCCTTTCCAGATCATGTCCTTATAATATTCGATCACAAACACTGCAGGAAGGACGCACATTCAGTGCCAGCGCTCAGTTCGTGCCAGGGCAGGCCCGTGAGAGGCCTTGAGCGTCTTCTCCCCAGGGGCACCTCCCTTCCACCACCAGGCCAGCACCTCCAAACTCACTCTCTCACATGCAATTTAAATTCTCTTTCCTATCTGAACACAAAGGAAAAGAAAAATGCCTCAACATCTCTTCTGTGCAACCGGTCGACTTCCTGATTTTGGATTCCTTCGAGAGTGTCAGAAGAGCCCTGGAGATGACTTGCTCCAGAAGCCTGGGCTTTTGTTCCTACCATGGCCAACTGCTATGGAGAGGCCAGAGTCCCACACCTGCTGTGAGCAGATCAGGGATCCCGTGGGACCCCCCAGCAGATGCCTGCCCAGCCTCTGTGGGCCTTGTGAGAAGCCCATCTGTGGCTCTTGCACATGGTCCTCCGCAGCGGGACCGGAGCACTACAGCCAGCATCGCCATCCCAGCCGCTAGCTCAGCCTTCTTTCCTACAGCTCCCCTTGGATGGGTGCCACCCAATTCTGAGGAATCAGATATTGTGGTTTCCAGCTCTCCCCTTGGAGGGGCTTGCCTGTGCCAGCCTGAGATGGCAGGGGTCCCCTTGCTACTCTGTTTCTCCATATCACAACCACCTGCAGAAGCAACTGCATTTGGTTCCTAAATGAACCCACTTTCTGGGTTCACCCAAGACATTAAACTATAAACCTACCCAGTGGGCTGGAAGCCATTTTGCAACACAGCCAGGGCCCCAGTTTGTATCTTTCTGTCAGGTTCCTCCTCCCATACCGTTTTTTACATTAAACCTCACCCCAGTGGATTTACTCTAGTTTTGGATTACTCATCTTGCCCTGTTCTGCACTGAAGGCTAACGACCAGAACTGTCCCTAGTATTCCAGGTGTGACTGCACCACGTGTAGTACGACATTCAAAGGTTTATTTCCTTGCATTTTTCCGTGTATAAACTGAAAGGGAAAGCAGTCGCCCACGGCTCACCAAACTCCTCCTTCGGGGCCCGCTCCGACACCGCCTTGGGTCCCGTCTAGATGTACCAATCAGCACCGGGCCCCAAAATCTGTGCTCAGCCAAGTCCCGATTCCCTCGGGTGCCGCCTACTGCATGCTGGGCCTGGAGAGGCCCAGGGTTCTTCCCCACGCCCCCTCTCCGCCGTGGGGGCCCCTTACCTTTCGGTTGCTGCAGCTGGAATGGGAAGTATTTGTTCTCCTGGAGTTGCTGGTCCAGGTATTGCTCCGAATTCATGAAGCTGCAACACCAGAGGGCCAGGGGGCCCCTCAAGATAGACTTGACGATCATTCTCCCCGGCCTTGGGGAGAGGCTTCAGGGCTCTGCAGGCAGGCAGACCAGGGCAGAGCCGCTGCTGAGGGGGAGGGGCCGGGGAAGGCCGCAGCGCTGCCGGGGGAAGGAGGGACCCCCGCCCCTCCCTCAGGTCAGCAGAATAGGGGTGGCTGCCGGGGAGGCGGCCGTGCTGAGCCAGCCTCGCCTGGGGAAGAGCAGAGCCCCTTGGCGCGCACACGCAGGGGCCGCCCAGCAGGTCTACGCACCCTACGGAAACGGCCCGCAGGGAACCCTTCCGGCCCCCTCCCCCCCGCAAGAGCAGGACAAGATAGTCGGCAGCCTTTTTCCCCGACCGGAGGACCCACGCGAAGCGCAGCAGCACGGCAGCGGGCAAGGCCTCTGGATCCCGGGAGGCTGCCCCCTACCTGGCGGCCGCCCCCCGCGAACGGACCCCAGGGCCTCTGCAGAAGGAGCGCGAGTGCAGCCTTTAGGCCACCAGGGAACCGAGGCTTAACCGTGGTGCGCAGGCAGCAAAGGCCGCCCGCTCCCCGGCTCTCTGGTTCTGGTGGCGCGCCCACCAGTGGGACCCTCAGAGCCCTGGCAACGGGAGCAACAGAATGCCGTCCTCACGGAAACCAGGCCCCGCGACCTCCGACCTCGGGGAAGGGGCTGCCAGCAAGCCTCAGCCTCAGCTGTCGGGCTGGCCCGGCGGAGGACCCCCGCCTCCTGCCCGCTGCCCTGCCCGCCCGGAGCGAAGCAGCCCTGGCTGCTGCTGCCCCGCTTGAAGACGGGGGGATTGGGCCCCTCCGAAGAGGGGGAGCCATAGCGGAGACAGCAAGGAAGAACCCGGAAGGGGCCGGACAGGGACCGAAGCGAAGAGCAGCAGGTGGAGGACCGGATGCCGCGGTCGTCTTGACACCCACGAGGTTCAACCAGTCCCGGGACGCAAGTTCACATTTGTAATCCCCCCTTCCTTTGCCACCACTTTGCCCCCCCACACAAAAAAGCTAAGGGTGGAAAGAGGAACAGCTACAACTACCTGCCTCTCATAGCATCTTCAGAGAGTCACCACATTATGCACTAAGCCATAGTTCAAATAAATTCAATAAGCTTATTGAATAAACATTTGGCTTCATTCGTGTTTATTGCCTCAATTGCCATCATACAGTTTGCTTGACTTAACGTGGCTTCTCCGCTACGGTTCCTTGCCCAGCATGAAGTGGGAGTCCAGCCACTGTGGCTTGTACACACTTAAAACTGAGTTCACACGTTGGGCTGAACCATGGTCTGCTTGAACGGCAATAGCCGGAATGGGCTGAGCTCAGGCAACACGGGAAGGCAAGACTCAACCCCCCCATTCTGAAGACCCCTCGCAGTAGCACCACCAAGGCCCACACTGGCTCCGCTGAAGCTGGCAGAATGGAGGAGAGCCTCTTCTACCCCGGCTCGTTCAGAAGTGAACCATGTTAAGCCAGTCTTTTTCACCAAACCAGGGTGAGCTGATCTCTGCTCAGGTTTCCAGAGCTTCTGAGCAAAGAGGGTGACCCGCTGGGAGCAGGATGGCAGAAAAGTCAACTGGGGACTTTACCTTTTGCAATCTGGCTTCCTCAGCTTTGTTTTCTAATACTGCGGCCTAAAGTAGTTACATGAACCCTTTTTAAATATAATGAAGCAACACAATCAATACATCAATCAATACCTCACAATATTTTAGTATGTACCTAGTTTCCAATACACACGTTTTAAAATTGTTCTGGCTCGCCCAAAGCAGCCAAATCGCTCCGAAGAAGCCGCGTACGTTTATGAAGCATGCGAACGCCGAAGAGCGTGCCCCGGGCTCCCAGCAAACCATCTGCAGTTCGCTGAGCAGCCCTGAGCGAAAGCAGCACCGCAGCTTCCCTGCCTTGGCCCACCTCGCTGCCAAGACAGAAAGGCAGACACGGCGGGAATTACAGCGTGGCGTTGGGATGTCTTTGACGGACCCGTCCGGGCGGCCTCTGCGCCATTCCTCCCTCCCTCCCGGGTCAGGGTGCCAGCCGCGCTGTCTCCGAAATACGGCCGGTGAACAGAAACAAGGGGGCTCGCCGGGTGCTGGGACCTGGCGGGGTCTTCCCCTGCCGGCACTCGGGGTCAGTGCAACGCGGCTTGCCGTGAGTGTTTTCTTACAAGGGCACTTCCAGCGGTTCACATGTATTGGGGGGGCATCTCATAGGTTTGGTAGTGAATGCAGGCCATGTGTGGGGGGGGTACCTCTTCTCACCACAAAATCATCTTTCTCCAGATTTGCAGTTCAGCCTATTTCTGCATTCTTAGCAAGTCTGAAAATTGCTCTACCTGCTGGAAAATTCCACGATGTGGAACGCAGTTTGAGGCAGATTTCATGGCACAGACACGCATCAACCTCTCTCAGCAGCCATCGGACCAGACCAGGGACAGCCCAGCCCAGCTATCTAGGAACTTGAACCAGGACCACCGATGGCCCACAGTCCCATTGCCATTTCTTTTACCCAGAACATTACCAAGGGACTGGGGGGCCTTTCCTCAGAATCTATAAACCTAGCACCTTGTTAGCTTCCTTTCGATTAGATTTGAGGACCGTGTCCTTCAAAGAAGTGCTGATATCAGTGAACTGGGATATGACCCTTGGAGAATTCAAGCTTCCAGAGCTCAGGGGCCAGAGCGAGCGTATCCCCAAGTGCTGAACTGTGTCAGCGGTCAGCAATGTCTATTGGAAGATAAAATGAGTAACACCCCAGGAAGGCCTTACGTAGCCCATATGGCCACCAGGGTCATGGACCCAGTGCCTCCGTGGCACCAGCTGAAAAAGCTGTGTGTGCGCGCGCGCGCATACACATGCACACTCAGCCCCTACCTCAACAGGAGAGGGCAAAAAACTCCAGGCTCAGGATGGGAATAAGAAGGGAGCAGCGAGATGTTGGAGTTTCCCTTTGAGCAAGCAGCCCTGCGCCAGACCCAACCAAAGAACAAATACCGCACCGACTGTGGAAATAAAAACCCTTTTATTCAAGCAGAATTTGAATCTACAAATATTAGAAAAGAGAATGGAAATAGATACAAAAAAGCGAGTTGACAGTAAAGTTTCTTAAACATTTTTCTTCCCGATGCCGCAGAGAGACCCCACTTTGCGGGGGGCTGAATTTCCTTGCTGCACTTTTAAACCAGGAGTGAAGGGCCAGCCATCCTGGGCCACGTGCACCGCCCACTTGGGGAAGCTGCAGCTCGGGAAAGGTGGCTCGTGGTCTTGCCACTGCTCTGAGAGCTCAGGAAACACAGCTCCTACGTTGCACCCTCTGGTCTGTCTTGCTCCTCCGAGCTAGTCAAGAGCTGGTGCAAACACTGGCGGACTTCATCGGGACCACGATAGGCCTTCTTTGTGCCCCGGGGCAAATGGCGACAAGATGAGAGGTTGAGGTAGCTGAGGGCAGGGCAACTGGCAATCAGGGTGCTTAGGTGATGAAGAGAAGAGGGGATTTCTGTTAGGGCTGTTACTCTTTCCAACTTCCTGGTTTGCAAAACGCCTCTGCTATCACACAGCCCCCGCCACTGGCCTCTATAAGGCCGCAAGGGCCCTGATCCTCCAAGGCTCAGAGAATGCCCCCATCCCTGGCCTTTCCATAGCCAGGTCCCTGAAGGCACGTTGGAGCTGGGACTCCTCGCAAATTTGGAATTCTCAGAGATGCAACACTTTGGAGCGCACCAGCTTGCATGATGCCAAGGCCCAAACACACCAGTGTTAAATCTGGAGATAAGAACCTTAGCCGAGTGCCCTTCTCCTAGGACCCCAAAGCACCTTCTGGAGACTGGATCAAAGGACTACGTAGCCCAGCTAAAGAACGTTTCCAAAGAATGCTTCGAGGCCGCTCCCTGGGAGCACAGAGGGGGGTCTGTCCAGAAAGTCCAAACAAACCCCCCCAAGTGCGTCATCCCTCCTTCCTTGTTCTTTCTGGCATTAAGGCTTGAAGAGGGCAACCAAAGGGAAAAGGGGGATGAGAGCTCCACAGTGGGCGCTGCCCGGCTCACCTGACAGTACTGAGGGCAATCTTGGTCCCAGTGAGACTGAGGGAGCGCAACACCGGGGCCCCTCTCTGGTCCCCTCCCTGAGTGAAGGCAGCCATCGCCCGCTCCAGGTCCTGCTCGCTGAAGCTCTGGCCGGCCAAGTCCAGCTCTCGCAGGCTGTGCCTCCACTTCCAGGTGAGGAGCGGACTGCCTTCCAGAGGCCGGGACAGGTGACTGGCGCTGTAGTGCAGGCCGAGGTAGAGCTGCTCCAGATCTGCAGAATACTTTGGATGTCAGGAGGGATAAGGGGAAGAACCAGGGATGGGTTCTCCTGGGAATGCAGGCAGTCCTATACTTACAAACCTCCAACAATTCCAACTATGAAGGTCCCAGAAGTTTACGCCACACAGCTGTAAACTTCTGGGCGTGTGCGGTGTGCCGTAAACCTCTGGGGATATTATGTGGCGTGCCGTGAATGGACTTACAAATAGTCTCTTGGAACTTAACCTGTTCATAAGCAGAGGACCATCTGTAACTCTTGGAACAGCTGCCAAGACCAGCAGATTGGTCTGCCCCACCCAGCAGACAACCACAACAGCATCCTACTGGGGGACAAGGAGGTTACACGCGCCTGGTCCAGCCGATTCATACCAGAAACCAAAAAAGCAAAACTGCTCACATTGTGGGAATCCACCACAAGACCAGAAATGGCAGTTCAGCCTCCTGGACGACTGCGAGGAGGAAGTGAACGCAGTTTGGCAGAAGACAGCTGCTGAAGGCGGCCTGCTTTCTCACACGCAAATCCACCAATGCGTGTGGCTTGAGCTTAAGGGGCAGGGCTAGGTGGTTGCCTAGAAAGCGGAGGGCAGCTCACTTTTCTGCACCCACCTGGGCACGGCAGCTGCTCCAGCCCTTTGGGCGTCACACGGAAGCAACCGCGCAAGTCAAGGACCCGGAGCCGGCTCGAAGTGCACAGGATCCGCCACAGCATGTTATTGTCCACAAAAGAGAAAGCAGTCGTGGCCAGGCACAGCTCCTCCAGCTGCGGGAAGCCCAGAGACTGGGGGGCTGAGCTGGGGAGCAGCTTTGGGTAATAGGTGACGTTGAGCAACCGCAGCACCTGAGGGGCAGAACAGGCAGATGCCGAGGACAGGGCAGCTTGGAGCAGGCCTCAGTCGACGGGACAGGAAGCCCCACAGGAAACTCCCTCCCAAAACACAGACCATTCCTTCCCTTGCCCACAGATTCTTCTAAGCAAATCCCCCTCCCCTGAAAAACACCCAACCAGGGTTCCTCTGGAGGAGCTAATTCCTCCCCACAGCCAGCCGGGGGGGGGGGG